GACTTCGTGATGTTTTATAAAGCTCAACGACTTTTTTGTCAAATAGACGTCCCTCAATCGAAAAAATCTAAATGAATATAAGATGAATATTCCTGTTTCATTGTTAGTCATCGGTTGATGATATTTGTTTCGTAGAATGTTTCATAAACTTGAAATTTTTCATTTCTAAAACTTATTTTCATTTCATATCTCACAATTTGACCAATGAAATTCGAGAGGAATTATTCGGTTATTGTATTAATGTAATTTAAATGGTTTATTTTACGATTTGTATTATCTTTAATTGTGCATATTTTGTTTCTTACCTATATCATTACAACTCATTCGTTCTTTATATATAAGTAGAGTAGATCAACTAGTTTTCTATTTGAAAATATTTTTCGAAATTTTCAATTATTCAAAAATCTTATCTATTCCTAACACATAAACAATGTCGAAGTGAAACAAACATTTTTTTTATTGGAATGAAATTTTTATTATAGTTATTTTGATAAATTAAACTAAAACATACCGACGACATAATAAATGGTAAGCATTTGTGCATCAATTTTTGGTTTTATATCCATATAACAATTAAGATTATTAAAATCTTCTTCAATAATATCAATTGATATTGTTATTAATTATATTTAGAAAATTAATGAAAGAAATCGTTCAATTAATAAAACTAATAGAAGACCATTTTCATCTAAATGTATTCCTTCACAAACGAATAAATGACTTGCAAATTATGTATGATCTATAAAACTTAAATAAATTTTATACAAATATCAGCTTGTTCAAATAAAAAGAATAATTGATGATGTTTTATTATTGACGTTAAATGTTTAACGTATAATTTATAATGATATATTAAATGACAACAAGATTGTTATTGATAACTTAATAGATAAATGTGTTATTAATGATGATGGTGTTTATATTGGTGATCACCATGCTTGTTATGCATAATAAAGTATATTAAGAATATCTGTCAATTTTAATAAAAATGATAAGAAGAATTTAAAATATTCACTTAAAATAGTTAAATATGAAAATTTATCAAGACGATGTAGAATTATTTCATCATGAATTCATAAGTGACGAAAATCATTTCGAATTGTTCGACAATTGTTTATAGATAAAATAAAATGATAGATCTTATATAAGCATAGGAATTTTAAAATCAAATGTATTTCGCTAGTTCGTTAGAAATTAATGAATTGCAGGAAAGTTTTATCTTAAAATAAATGGATGGTATGTTACTATCATATAGATTATAATCAAAGTTTTAGCTCTTTTCACTTTGATGGACATCAGTTTTTATCTGTTCAGTTAGTTTCTTCTTCCTAAAGTTTCAAAACGAAATTTCTAAATCAATCATTTTAGTTTTCGTTACAAAGATAACGACTTCAACTAAAAATGATGTTCCTATTTGAAAAAAAGTAAGTTACGTAAAATCATAGACCATTAAAAGAAAAATAACCTTAGATAAACCAATAGTAACATGTCATTGTAAATGAACAATAAGCACATCAACAATTTCTCGTCAAAGATATTTCCATTTATCACCATCATTTCGAGGACTATCAATAATAACTGTTAACAATCGTAATTCCTATAAGAATATAAATTCTATTATTGTTTTTTTTTCCAGTACATATACATGACATGAAAAGATACTTTTAAATTTATAATAATTAGGACGCCTAGTTTTTCTTGAAACTTTTTATTGTCATATCTTGTATAAAATACATAACTGAAGATTGCTATCTCCAAATATTGTCGAGTTCTCTCGGCATCAACAATATGGTTATTTTCAGATAATTGATTGATTGATTCGTTGAAGTGTGGGTGTAGGTTCAATCGAGAAGAAAAATTACAGCTAGACATTCATAATGACACACTCTCGAGTTTCTATGATATTTGAACAGAATACATCAAATTCAGTTTTTTTTTGTTTATTTTACTCTCGTTCAGCAGACGATGATGAAGCGATGGATGTTCATGAAGATTAAATAAAAACTAAATAAAAAGAATATTTTTAAATGAATAGTGTGATAACAGAAAAATTTGTTTTTAAACCTTTTTGCTTCGGATTTCAAGATAGAACCAAATAAAAAGATCTGACACTTTGACAATAAACTACTCTAGTTAAGATCATCGATATTCGCAAAATTAGTTTTTCTGTTAGTATGATATTCTTATATTGAAATTTTCCTTCTCTAGGAAAGACTCTTCTAGAAATGTTAATTATAAGATTTTCATCTAAAGTTTTATCCGTAGACAAGTTTTAGACTGAATAGAACATCCTAAAGGCTTTTAGCTTAACAAATGAATAAAAATGATTAATAATTGAAATTTTGTTTATAATAATTATTTTCTATTTAAAATAATTTATCTCTTTTCTACATAATTAAATGGTTCTTTCAAATTTTTTTGATAAATCTTATGTATAAATAAGACTTAAAACTGATTTAATAGATAAGAATAATGTTTTGGAAAAAAATTGTTGAAAATGATCATTCTCAGATGAATTTAATAAACTTTTTCTTTATTTTTATATGACGAAGGTATTAATTGAAATAATTTCATCATTGATGAATTATTTCTAAAAGCACCGAATTATGTATGATTAACTTTTTTTTATCTTTGTCTGTATTTGATATAGTTGATGAGATTTTATCATTATCTTAAAAAATAAAAACAAATGAATTCGTTCAGACGAGACATGATCAAATATATTCGTCAAATTTAACACTTTGGAACTCGTTGTCTCTGTGAAAACTGAAATATCAACTATGGCAAATTATCTTCTGTCAAAAAAAACAAATGATGACTATGAGTATTTTTGCAAGAATTCGAGAACGATAATAAAATAGTTCAATTTTTGAATTACTTGAATGATTTGTGCTACTTTCAAAACATTTTTTTTTGTTATTTGTTGAGATTTGATAAATCTTCAAATAAAAAGAAAGAATACAAAAAAAACATAATAAATATCGTTTTCTCTCTTGATTTGAAAATATTAATTTATTAATATTGAATAATAGTTATAAATTATTAAGATCATGTAATACAAAAAGCATGTTTTAAAAATTTTATAAGTAAACGAAGGTCATCATAGTGATTATGAAAAAATAGTCGAATTGTTGTTGGTCTTTAAAAATTTAAAAGAACATAAATACCTTCGAAACATCCAATCTATATTAAAGACAACATAAGAATAATAAATTTCTATTAGAATTAATGCTTAAGCTAAACGATCAAATATAAATGTTGATAAAAAAATGATATTGTTTCACATTGTACTTTATCATTTGATATTATTACAGAACTATTTTATTGTTCTAATCAATGATGAATTTTATATATCCATTGACAAGAAGAATTAATCCATTTAAGTAAATAATGTATTGATCATTGACATGGTAAAAATGAATTGTGATCAATAAAACCTTAAAATAAAAAAGTAGCTAATAACTAACTTAATGCAATAAAATCAACTTATGCATTCAATTTCGAAAAAAAAGCTACTTAGTTAACATCTCTAGAAAATACATACTTAGCAAAAGTCGAATCAGTTTCTTGACGAACATCTTTATCAGTATACTGTTGTTTTAATTATTGTTGTTGTTCAAGATAAGTTAATATTCGAAAATAAAAATTATCTATTAATTGAGCTCGAGTAACCTATTTTATATACACACAAAAACAATTATTCTAATCATAAATTTCTTTTATCTACTTTAGCAAGTATATAACAACTTCTACGTATATTGAATATAATCTTCTGATAATTAAATTCCTATGATTCTAAATTTATGACTTGAAATTAATAAAAAAAAAAAGTAATAATGTTCGTATAGTATTTAATGAAACATATATAACACCTGTATTATTATCATTGAGACATAATCGAAATGTAGAAAGTAATTCAGCTAATATATCTAATTGAATATTTTTTATCAAAAACAAGAGACGATTAATATTCTAACCTAACATTGAACTATCTTGTGAATCAGTTGATAGAAGTAAACATCGATTAATAGAAGAATTATTAAATCAATTTGATAATGATGATAATGTTAAAAGATAAATTGTTGTTTTAATTAATGTAGCAAGTATATTTGCATATGCATTACGTAAATATAAATCACCGTGTACACATAAAGATACCTCGACGTTGAATAGATTTTAATGTATTATAAGTCATATAAAGCTAGAAATTTCATATCAATTACAAAATTTTTATTTTATCAGAGATCTCCAAAGACTAAAGAAAGACTCCTTAGAGGATACAATTGATTTTATATCTCAAACTTCGGCTTAGAAATTTTTTTGAGATAGTTGTGTGATTGTATTATTTCAATCTCTGATACATATATATATGTATGAATGCAGACTATGAACTTGAAAACTATTATATGTATAACCTATGAAATGAAGTGATCTATCTTATATTTTTTCGAGCCTGAAAAAGTTGTAGTCTTTTGTTCGTTTCGAATTAGAGCATGGTAACTTTAAAAAAATTAAAACGACGAATAGGTCGGAAATTGATGAATCTATATCGAAAAAACTTCATTCTTGAATTTTAAGATTCAATTATGTATGTTTCATATCGTTATGTTTCAACAATTTCATAGTGAAATTGTCATATCTGTCATATAAATTTCACAAAAAATTTCAGATCTTAACCAATTGAAGCTACATGTATCAACTAAACTCTGTCACAAGCTCTTTCACTGGATTGAATCCATTCACCTAAACCCTCCTACTGTTACATTATTGGAAATAACTTCGGATAATATAATAAATCTAATTTACTGAAGTGAAACTTTAAAAAAAGAATCCTCAAACAAGAATTAAAAAATACTTTCAGTAGTGAATAATCAAGTGGACCAAATATTTGATAAACATGATAGACATGTTGGTATAGTACATTTAACACTAATACGTGATTCATCATTACTTTTTATCGTACGATCCATATTGAGTATATATCTAATCGGAAAAAGATATTATTGATTAACAAGTTTAGCAGCTGATGTTCGTTTTTCATTATTAATCATTGATGTTGAATTAAATTCATCATTCATTTTATTTACTAAAATATCTTGTCGTTGATTAATTTCAAAAATGAACGTTGGTATGTTGAATAAGCTATTGTTCGAGAAAAATCCAAAGTAAAGAAATTTTTTGTTTTTTTTTCTCAATATTTACCTTTTTGTAATGCTTGACTAACACAAGTTTTTTCTATAGATCCAATTTGACTTGAAATTACTAATTGATGAAAATCAAATAAATTTGAATATTTAACTATAATTTCAAGTGCCTCTAATGAACTTGATACAAAATTATGATCTTTTATGTTTTAAACAAATATAACATACCATATCAATACATTAAAAAAAAACAGATTTACATTGAAAATAAAATCATTCATTCTTTGTCGAATACTGCTTGAAAGATGTTGTTCATTTGTATCAATATTTTTACTTGTATTTATTTGTTGTTAGTTATTGCTTGATGATGATTGAAATTATTTGATATTTAAACCAAGTCATTAAATAAGATTTTTTATGAAACCAAGATAACCAATTATTAAAATTGTACTAGCATTTTGTTTATGATGCTCAAATAATTGATCTGTTAAAATAAAAGATAATTATAATGAAGTGAAATAATTATTTGAAAGAAAAACTTACCAATTGCATTTATCATTAGAAAACGTGCTATAACCATGGTATAACATATTGACTGAATAGAACATGAGAGATTCCTGAAAATAATTTAGTAATTGTTTATGTATTTTAAAAGAAAATTATTTATTATTAATATTAAAAAAAAACTAGAAAAATTCATTCTCACTCGACTTCATACTTAAACTATGATGATATTCAGTGAACTACCACGACTAAATTATTAAATTTCTTATTGAAATTTAATGATAAATAAAATTTTATTATTCTTAAGCTGCATGAAACTCTACGCTCAATTACTTTCAAGGTGATTTGAGTAAGGGTGGGTGTAGTTGTAAGCAAAGGTTACTTCTATATACAAATACGTACCCAAACCCTAAGCTCACAGCCGCTTCCAAACATCCACACCCTCACACTATGACTAACAAATTCTCTATATGTAGTCCTTTTAATGTGATTCATTCTTCATCACTTAATTTTATTGCAAAATGGTTCCCAAGAGATATTTCTCTTCTTTGACTCATCTTTAATTTTTCTTAAGACATGACTCCATGTCTGCTTATATAGTAAGAAGTTCCATAACGTTGTCTTCTATGCAAAGTTTCTAACCTCTATTTAGCAACTTCATTTATGAAATACTTGGTAATTTTGACAAAAATTACAGCATGATTTCTCCAGAGAGAGGAGGAGAGCTCATGTATATATCATCTGCAGCACCAAGTAACATGAAAATTTTTATGTAAAAAGCACTGTTGAAAGCTAAGGCTTTTAAAGAAAACATAATAATTAAGCTTGCTTTCTCTTTCCAGAAAAAAAAATCACTGAGCATTTAGCTTTTCATTAATTCGAGTTGTTGAACGATTTAAATCTTTAAACTGCTCAATACTTCAATGATCTTTTCAGTCAATTTCGTTTCCGTATATTTTTCTAGAAACGAAATAAATAGCTTCAAATCAAAATTCAAACAATTAAGATGCGTAACATTCAGGAGTTTTTCTGCACAGAAAGAACAAGTTAAACTTTTGTATTTTTGTAAAAGATCTTAGCTTTGCATAATACTTTTAAAGCTTGCCTGTAGAAATAAAAAATGCACTTACTTACTAAATATTACACAACAAAAAATGAATCGATGAAATACAGTTCGTAGTCGGGGATGCTACCTCATGAAGTCGAAAAAGCGGAAACTTATCTCGTTGCGGATTTTTAGCATTTATGAGGATTTTCAACTTTTTCATATCTATAGCATTCTGTTTTTATTTTAACAAAATTGCAAAGCATAAAATATTGTTGAAATGATTAAGAATGACGTGGCTTCATTCGATGGTATACAAAAGTACCTTCTGCAGCTGCTGTTTCTTCAACCTTCTTGTTAGATTTCAAAGTTAATGTTATCAATTGTCGATTTATACCGAATGATTTTATGTTGTTGTTATGTCTTTTCAACTTTATGTGACGATCAATATCATTTTTTCCACCGTCATATACTGAAAAATGTTCGTTAGAGGCAATACAAAGAACTTTAGCTGAATCTGGTTTATAGTGTCGTAAAAATGATGTGGACTGAGGATTAACTTGCCATTGTGAATTCAACATGCCTTTTTTATCTTTTGATAAGCACCTAGTATGGCTTCAATATTTTTATTTTCATTTGATTTCAGAATTGGTGATGTTGTTATTAAATGTTCACGATCTGTTTCATCATTTGCAATCTCAATATCTTTAGATCATAAAAACGTTTAAATTTTCGGATGGGAAATTTTTTTTGAGTAAATACAGAAGGCAAAATGATTTGAAAAGGAGTTAACTATTAGTTGAAAGCAGAATGATGTCTTTAATTCCCGAGCAAGCAATTAGTGCGCAAGCTCTTTAACACAGACAACCTTTATGTGTTCGTTCATTGATTTTATGCAGGCCTCGCGCGAGCGGGGGGTTTAGGGGGTGTACATCCCCCGAAAAATAAAAACTTCTCAGTTTTATTCGGCCACAAGAGCAGATTTTGTCCACATTTTATGATTTTTCTGCAAGATTTTTCTAAAAATACTCTATTACACCCCCTAATCTGCTAAACACCCCCCTAATATTTGGTCCTTCGCGCGGGCCCTGATTTTATGGATGACATAATAAGAATGATGATTAACTGGATGCGTAAACAGTAAGACTTTATTCGACAATAATAAGTTTTGCTAAGAACATATTTTGAAAATACATCACCTTTTTATATAACAAAGCGGAAAAATAGCGGAAAAATAGCGGAAAAAATGTGACAAAGCGGAAGAGGTGGCATCCATGTTCGTACTGCAATGAAACGAAAAAAACTTTCAGGAAGAGATTATTGAGACACTCGGTACAGTGATTGTCATAAAGAGTAAACTGCTTGGACATTTGAAAATCATTAAAAATTATGAAAAAACATTCTTGTTTCTGACTACTCCAAGTTTTGACTTCATCAAGATCGAAACTTCAAGGGACTTTTAGTGCAAAGTTCGAATTATACTCTGAACTTTTATGTATAGTATGAGGGCTTATTAAGCAAAGACTAGAAAATCATACAACTTTTAGACATTACAAAAGGATTTAAATCACCAAAAAACTCCGAAAAAAGACTCAGTGATCATAAAATCGTCATAATGGTTTGTTTGAGGATCGAAATGCATTTTAATGGTCACTTTACTAATTTTCAACAAAAATGGGGCATTTTAATAGCCATTTATCCATTATTCTTTTGACTGGGCACCCTGCAATTCCGTGGCTACACACTTCTTTCAGAAATCATGGTTTGCTTGGTTCAATTATGACTCAATAATAATGGTAAACTTGTCAAGATTTTAAAATTCCATGGCTACACATTTCTTTCAGGATTTAGTCGTTTCCTCAGGAGAAAACAGCGAATCCTTGCAGCATGCTGATCGGATCTACCAAGGTCCTAATGCTTAAACATCACAGATTTTCTCAATGTAGGGTGTGGATGTGGATGTGACTCGTGCTAAGCATGCATACACTCACACACACATCCAAACTGACATCCACACCCTCATTCATGCCTCAACTCACACCCACACTCACACATACCCGAATATAGTATTATTTATTGATTCAAAATTTAATTTTTTGGAGGGTGTGGGTGTCGGTGGGTGAGGGTGTGGGGGATGTGGGTGTGGGGGGTGTGGGTGTGGGTTGGAGTGTGGGCGTGGGTGTGGGTGTGTGGGTGTGGGTTGGGGTGTGGGTGTGGGTGTGGGTGTGGGTGTGGTTGTGGCTGTGGGTGCGGGTGTGGGTGTGGGTGTGGGTGGTTGTGGGTGTGGGTGGGTGTGGGTGAGTGTGGGTGTGGGGTGTGGGTAAGTGCGTCGGTAAGGATATGACAGATCGGGAATGAGACAAAACGAAAGATATCCACACTCACATCCACCCCACCCACACCCACACCCTCGACATTTCGACGAAAAGATCAATTTTTTCAAAAAAGATGGATCAATAACTTCACGGCCCATGCGCATTCCAAGTTTATTTTTATAGAGAGTTGTAGACCAATGTGTGGTCTTTAACACTGCAATTGTAGATTTAAAAAGTAGGGGATATTTTAGGAGAAAATCAAGGTCAAAAATCGACATTTTAACGAAAAGTTCGTTTTTGTTTCAGATATTTTGAATGAATACTTTATTCTAGCAAGCTGAAATTTATAAGTTAGTTAGATAGTAGCAAAGTGTACTTGTGTTCAAAATTTCAGCTCTCTATCATTTTCTAAATAGGAGATATGCGGTGCAAAAATTATTAAAAAAATCGATTTTTACTCAAAATATGGAATCCATAAAATATTAATCCTTCAACTTACTGAGCTGAAATTAATGGGACACGCAGAACTCAATTAGATGTTGGTGCACAAAAAATTTTAGCTCAAACAATTGCTGTTTTGTTGAAGTTTTAAAGTTCTGAAGATTGCTCCTCGCGAAAATACGTTTTACGCTGATTTGATAGTGCCTTCAGTAAAACCGCTATAAAAAACGAACGGCTCAATATTTTTCGAATCGGTTTGCGTGAAAATCCATAAAACACTTTCATCTATCACGTATGTGAAAATGAGCCCAATTGGAGAATATCAATTGAGCACCTTAGGTCGTGGCTTACGTGGAATGGCTCATATGATAGATATTAAATAAAATATATTAACAAGAAATATTTGAAAACATTAAATACAAAATGATTATTTTGATTTTAATTAAATTATTTTAAAATTTATTTGAATTTCATTGAATCTATTTCGATAATCAAAACGAAAAAAAAGACAGATAAATATAAACCTGATTAAAATATATAAAAAAAGCTTCTTATAAATAAATAGTTATTCTCGAGTTTACAAGAAATAATCCGAAGTAAGTTAAATAGAGCAATTAGAAAAGAAATCGTTATGCTTTTAAAAATCGTTCAGATATTTTCACTGGTGCTCCACATCTTTGACAAACACCTGTTCCTCGAGAATCATTAGAAAAAGTTTTATCTTGATACATGTTTGTTTGTTGCAGTTGAAGTAGCCATCGTGGTTTTGTTATAACATATTCTGAAGAAGGTATATTGTCACGATAATCATCTCTTGCAGAATATTTATCAGAATTATTTTTATCTTTAAGTATTGATCTTATATATACATATATATATATACAAACGAAAGCAAGAGATGATACTAATATAATACCTGCACCAGCTAATTGTCCCTTAGTTAGTTTTACTGAAATATCGAGCAAATCAACATAACCAGATGAGGAATAACAATTTATGTTCGCATTTGATAACAAGTATACGATTCCTTCACCGTCAATAAATTTTTGATCAAAATCGATGAGTACAGCTGAGAAGATGAATGCTATTATGTTTTTTATCATAGCATACGTTGCACATCCAACGGATGATCGATTACAACAAGCTAACAAATCAAATTTTTTTTAATAGATTAGAAGAACATATTAATAAGAGTTTCATCGTTTTATTCATTATATAAATAACTTAATAAATAAATTCTAAGATTACAAATCTCTATTTTAATAATAGAATTTACTGTGAATCAATTTATATTTCAAAAGAAAAATTTGTTGAAATCGAGATATAAGATAGAATATAATAATATTCTTTTATCTTTGATAAGATATTTAATTATATTTTTTGATTGCTTATAATAGTTCCTCTTATTTAAAACAATTTCTCATTTTACAATGATATAATATCATTGAATAAAGAATTCAACGTAAGAGAAAATACTAAATAGTTAATGATATATGCTATCATTTTGTTTAGACTAGTTCTTTTTTTCTAGTTTTTTTTGATTGAATAAAGGCCAATTAAGAGTTTATCCAGTTAAATATATTTTTATCTTTAATCTTATTGTATTATATTGTTCAGTCTATAAGTTGTTTTTTATGAATATCAGATTTTAATTAATGAAATATAAGAGAAAATAAATGATAATACTCACTGACACAAAATATTGAAATCCAACATGCAAAGAAAAACGCCCAACAAACAAAACCCATAACATACCATGTTGTTAAACTAGCACAAAGACTAGCCATACCAATTAGAATAATTGCGCATTGAAGTCCAAGAATAGCAAATGAAACAAAAAGTTGAATGACAGCAATTAAGCCAACAATAGCCGGTGGCCAATAATGATGCCAGCTTTGAGAACTAGGCCAACATGAATTATGCGCCATTGCTTTACCGAAAGAAGAAATTTATATTAATATACAGGGTGTCTCATAATGGTAAAATCTTCTAATAAATTTTGACAAAAAATAAATATTTCCTTAATTAAAGAGAAGTTCATTTTCAATGTAATGCCACATCCATAGACACCTAGTAACAGTCTATCATGTATCATATTGGTTTCAATTTGATCGATTAGTTTTAATGAATAAATTAGAAATCTTTTAGATTTAAACTATCTCATAAATATAGGATTACCTTTTCCGGCTAATGTATGGAAATATTGAATTAATGCTAATTCAGCCAACTCAAATAATTCATTTTAGTGTCTATTCGAAAGAGATGACACTTAAGTACATACTGAAAACAAAAAAGATTTATGAAAAGCTTCTTATCATTTAAGAAATGAAATGATCTCAAAATTATGATTATATTCATCGAGAAGAATATGTTTTCACATTTTTAGATTGCATAGACTTTGAGAAAAGACATTGAGACTATTAATAACTGTGTAAAGATTTTTTTCTAAAATATAGTCTATTTTTCTGTTGTCGCCAGTTAATTCTAAAAAACTTGGAAGATCCTTCCAAAAGCAATGTAAAACAGATAGTCAAATGACAAAAAAAATATCTACTACTTTTGATAGAAACTTTTTTTAAAAATGCCTTCTAATAACAAATAAACATGTGTCTTGTAGCGCGCTTAATGCGCTTTCATATGAAATACGATTCAACTTTTTTGCGCTCAATCCGACTGAGAAAGTAAGGCTGCAGGGAAAAATAACTTATCACCTGGCTATCTATTTTACATTGCTTTAGGAAGATGTTCGAAATTATCTAGAATTAACTGGTGACAACAGAAAAATAGACTATATTTTAGAAAAAAATCTTTACACAGTTATTAATAGTCTCAATGTCTTTTCTCAAAGTCTATGCAATCTAAAAATGTGAAAACATATTCTTCTCGATGAATATAATCATAATTTTGAGATCATTTCATTTCTTAAATGATAAGAAGCTTTTCATAAATCTTTTTTGTTTTCAGTATGTACTTAAGTGTCATCTCTTTCGAATAGACACTAAAATGAATTATTTGAGTTGGCTAAATTAGCATTAATTCAATATTTTCATACATTAGTCGGAAAAGGTAATCCTATATTTATGAGATAGTTTAAATTCAAATGGTTTCTAATATGTTCATTAATACTAATCGATCAAATTGAAATCAATACGGAATATGATAGACTGTTACTATGTGTCTATGAATATAAAATTCCATTTGAAATAAAACTCTCTTTCGTTTAAGAAAGGGTGTGGGGGTGTGGGTATGGGGGTGTGGGTCTGGGCGTGTGGGGTGTGGATGTGAGTGTGCGGTTTGAATCTATGGGTGTGGGTGCGTGAATTTTTCTTAATACACCCACACTAGTGTCCTGCGGGAACGACATTTTTCCCTAATTTTCCCATTCCCATTCCCATGGGAATGGGAATGGGAATTCCCATTTAGACTTAGGGAATGGGAAGATGGGAATGGGAATTCTCATTTAGACTTAGGGAATGGGAACATGGGAAAGGGAACAGAATTAAAAATTGACGTTCCCAAAATTCTTTTTATCCTATTTCAATACATATAAAAATATTTCTATCTGATAACTGTTTATTTTCAATAACTTTTCTTATTCATATACAATTAACAAAAAAATAACAAATGTGTATCAACAAAAAATAGACTATTGATTTATTCTTAATCACATCGTAATTTAATCATCACAAATATTATTTTCTTTTTCATCATCGACTTCGAAAATGACATTACCAAGATCATGTTGCGATACATCATTATTTTCTCTTCCTTCCCTCAAATAGAAAATAAATAAAAAACTATAAATAAATATTAAGGTTATTTACAACAAAAAAAACAAACGATTTATCAATAAATAATCTCAATATTTATCTATAATTTTTTTAATTTTCTATTTGGGTGAGGGGAGGGGAACACTTTACTATAAGAGGAACATTCTCTCTATATGATGAACACTATGTTGGACTATACATTTTCTAATTACACAGTGGAACACTTTTTTAAGGAAAAAGCACACCAGCTTGAATGTATCGTGCATATATGCAGGGACACCTGCTTAACCAATGCCAACAAGCACAACAAAACAGAAAAAGAAAATAAGTGAAGCATTATGTAACAGCGTCGCGATGCGCAAAACGTGATGTTGCGAGAAACTGGTATACATATATGCCAATGACACTTTCGCATAGATGAACAGAGCCTTAGAAAATCTTATGGGAACTATGGGAATGGGAACGTGGGAATGGGAACAAAAAATTTTTTCTAGGGAATGGGAACAAAAATTTTTTTTAGGGAATGGGAAAAAGGGAATGGGAACAAAAATTTTTTTTTAGGGAATGGGAATAGGGAATGGGAATCAGAAAAAGTCGTTCCCGCAGGATACTAACCCACACCCACATCCACATGCACACCCACACCCACACTTACACCCACACCCACACGTATACCCACAATTCTGTTGCAGCATTTCGATACAAACATGTACCAGCATCAAGTTATAAGTATATTACGATCTGTGGATTAGGAAGCAGTTGATTTATCTATTGATTAAGAGACTGCTACACTTTAGTTTTAATAACAAATGTACTTTTTTCTGTTTCTTTTATCATAATTATGTTTATAACAAGCTCATAACAAAACTGAACCACTCTGCGATGCAACGCTAACAGATTTTTAGAGGTCTGATAGAAACAGTGATTCTAATTTATTATAAATTTAACAAGGTTCATTAAACCTCATTCTATTGTCTGTTCAAAAAGAGCAGAGTATGGCAATATGTAACAAATTACTCAATGGATACCTATCCTACTTACGTTGATCGTCAACAAACTGCAGATTTGTCAATGTCTGAAAACAGAAGAAACAGGTTATACTGTGATGTGAAGAATGTCTCCAATACCTTATTTGTTTTTGAAACATCTGTGAAATATTGTTGACCCATAGGTGTGATTTCATTTTGACTCAGATTTAATGTTGTGAGCGTCTATAATAAACAAAGGTGTATTATGACTGACATATTGAGAAATACTGTCACCGTATTTTTTTGAATGTCATTTGCGAGATCTTTTGCGCCACAATCCCTAATCTTATTAGCACTGAGATCGAGTGATGTTAGTGTCTACAGATATCAGTCAAAACGGAAATACATTGAATATTCTGACAAAGAATATTACTTTGTTATTTTGTAGAGATTTTGATAGACTATTGGCTCCTTGATCTCCAATGCCATTATTCTTCAGAACAAGCACAGTCATTGTCTAATTTGAAAAAACACAATGAACATGACTCATTATAAATAAAACGATACTTAACTTGGTTTTGAAGCAATGCATTCGCAATATATTGTGCTCCTGTATTTCCTATTTGATTATCGGCAATATTCAATATAGAGAGTGTCTTTTATTAGAAGAAAAAATTGTATAAGATGCATAGCAGAGAGACTAAAATACCGTTTTATTCATCAAGTTCTGCGCAACATGTTGAGCTCCTGTGGCTCCAAGTTGATTTCCAGAAAGATCTAATATCTTCAATGTCTGAGCATCAATAGAAAAAGACATAAGATAGATTAGAGTTATAAAAAAAAAGATTTTCTTTATTATTAGAATACGTCAGCGGAAATTATTTCAAAACTGACTGTCTTCAAATATTCATATCTATATCTTATGATGCCATGTATGACTTTCAGGAAATTCATTAGTTCTCTGAGCACAAAATCGATTTTCAGAATTCGATAGTCTCTAGGAACTAACTTCAGTTCCAAGAAAATTTATCATGTTTCCCTAGAATATCACCATCATCATAGTAGAGGAGTAAAAGTACGGCTAACTCTTTATCCGTACCCATATCTTGCACGTGCCGTTCTAGATGTCTTGCGATTTTTGCTTGTTATATTAAAGAAAAAAAAACACAAAAACTTCGACGCTATGGACAACTGATCAATACTTTTTCTCTACATGGTTGAAAAACTCATGTAAACTATATTTAAGTTCAGGTATCTTCTCAAAAGGTTGGTAGTCTATGCTTCAATTCGGTTCAATAGGTTTCATTTCGACTCAGCTTAAATTTCTAAAAAATTTCAATTGGTTTCATTAGCGTTGTAGAATATCTGATATATGTATGATCGATTGATTATGATGCCGGAAGAAAGCTATAAGACATTCACTCCCACTCCAAACGATATTATTTCAGGAGAAGAAATAAATAGTACCAATCTTACCAAACAGACTCCCTTGACGGCATGTATGACAAGTTCAATATCTTGATCAGTGATATTCCGATAATCTAGAGATACTTCTGGAGTGTCTATTAAATCAATCATAGATTTTTCAAATTTCAAATCGTTACACTACTAAAGTTCATATATTTCTGTACACAATTCATAAAAACAATAATTACATCACAAGCAAAAACAAGAAAGGTGCTTGATATAGTTCAATCTGTTAAATTCAAGAATGATTCAAGTATCTACTCAAAAGTAATAAAATATGCACTCAATTAAGCTTAGTTAGTGATTTAACGTGAGATGCTCACAAAAAGCAATAAATCGAAGGTTTGACTTATAGCTAGTTGTCCAATAGCCAAGAAAATTTCGGCCATTGCACTAAGCATTACGAATTAGATGGTTCTAAGTAATACGAATAGTTCTTTAAATAGAAACTATTGAATTTATTGCAACTACCAATTCGATTAAATTTTATCATTGCATATAAAAATGTAGATCTATTTACAATCCAGGTGATTTGATCCAATGACGGAACCTATAGGATCCGATCAGATCCGACCAGCCGACAAAAACCGATCGGATTCCGGGCAACGAATTCATTGACGGATCCGACGGGTGGATTTCGATGAAAATCCGATGATATCCTACGACCGCAACCGTCAATTATTCCGACTATCAAATTCCAGTAGATTGTTTGCAGGCTTCATA